ATCCAAATCCCTGGAGCTGGCCAAGCACAGCCGCCAGAAAGTTGGTGCAGGCAGGCCCAAGCCCTGCTGAACTCCATTCATTGTTTTTGTGAAGCACAAAAGTACCAGATAAAGATGTAGTAGATACAGGGTCAAACAGCAGAACTTACAGGGTTTGCCTTCTCAGATAAGTATCTTATATTAGTTCGGCTGCAATACAATGTACCATAGACTGTGGCTTGTAAACAACAGAAATTTATTTCTCACAGTTCTAGAGACTGGGGAATCCAAGATCAGAGCAGCAGCAGATTCAGTGTCTGGTGAGAACCCCCTTCCTGGTTCATAGATGGTACCTTTTCTCTGGTCCTCACATGATAGAAAGATGGCAAGACAGTTTTTCTGGGTCTGTTTTATAAGGATTCTAATTACATTCTTGAGGTCTCCATCTTTATGACCAAATTTCTCCTGAAAAGCCCACTTCCTAATGCTATCATATAATTTCAAGTTTGGAAGTTTGGAAGAGAGACACAAACATTTAGTTTTGTAACATTTCTTTTCTAGATTTATTGTTGAAATATAATTACTATTTATTTATTATATTAAGGAATAGGTCCTTAGAGCAGAGGTTAGCAAATTTTAAAAGATTTTTTTTTCATTTATTTCCCTCCACTTTCAACCCTTATCCCCTAAACTTTCAAATAAAAGACTAATAAGTATTTTAGGCTTTTGGGGTTATAGTTTCTTGAAACTACTCATCTCTGCCATTTTAGTACAAAAGCAGCCACAAACAATGAAAGTGACTGTGTTATAGTAGAACCTTATTTACAAAACAGACAGCTAGCTGGATTTGGCCATAACTTGTTGGTCCCTAAACTAGACTACAGAATTCCTCCATTTGATATCTCCAAATTAACAGTAGCCAGAACAATGCTTGGGCCTTGTTTAATTAATACAATATTTGTTGAATTAATTTGGAATTAGTAATGCTGCTTAAAGAATATACTGAAGAAGTTGGGCATGGTGTACACCTGTAATCCTAACATTTGGGAGGCTGAGGCAGAGGATCACTACAAGTTTGAGGCTGGCCTGGGCTATGCAGTTAGACTGTATCTTTAAAAAAAAAAAAAAAAGTATATCTTTGTGTAGAATACACATCTATTTCTGTTCCTAGTTTCTGTTTTCCCTAAAAACATCCCTTTAACCTTAGCATTAACTTTGGCAGGTTTTTATTTTCTGTCAAAACTAATGTATTTTGAAACTAGAACTAACAGGGAAATAAGCCAACTAGATCAGCTGATGACCAGATAAACAAAACTATGTTATATCCATATCATAGAGAACTACTTATTTGTGTAAAGAAATGAACCACTGATATATTTGATAATATGAATGACATATAATAATATGTGATAATATGACATCTGTAAAGTGAAAGAATATGGACACCAAAGACTATACACTGTGCAATTACATTGAGATGACATTAAAGAAAAGATAAAACTGGATGAATGTGGTGGTGCACACCTTTAATCCAGTACTGGGGAGGCTGAGGCAGAAGGATTGCTATGAGTTTGAGGCCAGTCTGGACTACAAAGCAAGACCATGTCTCCAAAATAAATAAATAAGTAAAAGGTAAAACTATAGGAGCATAAAGTAGATTCGAATGATTGGCTGCTCAAAGGCAAGGCAGGAGACATCACAATCCCTGACTTGAAGTTATACTACAAAGCAACAGTAGTAAAATCAACATGGAACTGGAATCAAAACAGAGCCAAAGATCAATGGAATAGATTAGAAGATACAACCACAAGTACAATCACACTCAACCATCTTATCTTTGATAAAGGAGCCAAGCAGGTTCACTGGAAGAACAACAGTCTCTTTAATAAAATGGTGTTGGAAAAACTGGCTCTCCATTTGCCGAAAATTAAAACTAGACCCATGCCTATCACCATGTACTAAATTAAAATCTAAATGGATCAAAGATCTGAATATTAAAACAGAAACACTAAATCTATTGGAAGATAAATTGGGTAGAAACCTTGAAGACATAGGAGTAGGTAGAGAATTCATGAACAGGACTCAAACCGCACGGGAAATATTTCCCAGAATCAATAACTGGGACCACCTCTTATTAAAAAGTTTCTGCATGTCAAAAGAAATCTCCAGCATAGTGAAAAGAAAACCCACAAACTGGGAAAAGATCTTAGTGAACTCTCCCTCAGACAAGGGACTTTTGTCTAAAACATATAAAGAAGTAAAAAAACCTCAGACCCCCAAAATTCAAAGATCCAATCCAAAAATGGGCATCTGAGATGAATATGCACTTCTCAGATGAAGAAATACAAATGACAAATACATGAAAAAATGTTCATCATCATTGAGATTAGAGAAATGCAAATTAAAACCACAGTGAGATTCCATCTCACTCCTGAAAGAATGGCCAAGATCAAGAAAACCACCACCAACAAAGGCTGGAGAGGCTGTGGGGAAAAAGGAACTCTCCTACACTGTTGGTGGGAGTATAGACTGGTACAACCTTTGTGGAGGTCAGTCTGGAGATTTCTCAAAAAGCTGGGATTGGAAGCCCCATTTGTTCCAGCTATTCCACTTCTAGGCATATTCCCAGAAGAATTGAAAGCATCATAAACACAGTGATATATGTGCACCTATGTTTATAGCAACACGATTTGTAATCCCCAGATCTTGGAAACAACCCAAGTGTCCATCAACTGAGGAATGGATAAAAAAGTTGTGGTATTTCTATACAATGGAGTACTACTCAGCTATAAAGAAGGATCACATTGAGATATTTATCAATAAATGGGCGCAGCTTGAGACCATACTCATAAGTGAAATAAATCAATCTTGCATGTGTGAATACCGAATAGTTTCCCCAATGTAAGAAATGATTCAAATATATAAAAGTGTGTGGTAATCATGATTCCCCATTATGTGGCCTTGAAGCCTTATAAAGTTTTCGCTTATTAATTGGAAAGGCTTTATTCTGGCTGCTTGATATTATTGCCTGTGATGAAATGAACAGCTATTTTGAAGAAAACAAGTCATCATAATAGCTAGTGCTGATTTACTATCATCTTGTTTTGAAGCCCCACCAAACTATTGATTCTTCTGTCTCCATTGGTTTTTTTTTTTTTTTTTTTTGGTCTTTTTCGTTTTTATCGGTACCAGGGATCGAACTCACGACTGCCTGCTTGCAAGGCAGGCGCTTATGCTGCTGAGCTAAATCCCCAGCCTGTCTCCATTGGTTTTATAATGATGTATCTTGCTGGATTTTATTATATGTGATAGTATAAACAAAAATTGTTATAGGCAAAGAGATAATATAGAAACCATTGTTCGTTTTCTGTTAGCTGGTTCTAATTACCCTACAATGCTTTCATCCACTTGAATGGTTTTACACTGACTTGATATATTTGATGCTATAGTATATGAAGTTATATTCAAATATTTCAAGGAAAAGGACACTATGGTAACTACTATTAAGTCAGGTTATTTGGTGGTGAAGCACTAGGTTGCTGAAACTGTCATGCTTTGACCTGCATTGTTATGTTGTTATGTCCTCTTCTATCTCAATCTCTCCCTTATTCATTAAAAAAAATCAGTTATTTTTTATGATTTTTTAATTAAGGGGAAAAATCAAAAAAATTAGCAGGATATATTATAGTAACTTTTTTGATTTCCTATTAACTTGATTTGAAGTCCTGTAATACTCCCACTATCTTGTTTTGACTGATTAGACTCTGTTCCGTTCTGAATGATAGTATCAAGTTTGAGGGTATAGGCAACTACTTTGAAGGCAATAAGATTCACTATGATGCCCATTCTGGTTTGACTATTATCTTCTTTTGAAGTCTTGTAATGTTTACAAGGTTTAGGTTTTATTGGTCTTGTTCTCTACTGTTTTGTTCAACTTTATTTATTTATTTATTTATTTGTCTTTTTCCTTTTTATCGGTACCGGGGATCGAACTCATGACTGCCTGCTTGCAAGGCAGGTGCTTGTGCCGCTGAGCTAAATCTCCAGCCCCTTGTTCAAGTTTATAATACCTAATGAGATAGACAATTCTTTTTAAGGAAGCAAGAGGCACATTGTTGATAACCTTGTACTCTGTTTTTACATCATGTACTATGTCTATCCTTGGTTTTGACTGACAGCTTTGTTTTGTCATATTTGACTTTATTGTCTTCCAAAAAAAAGTAATAAGAACTATGGAGTAATAAAACCCAAAATGTGTAAATTTTGTTGTAAAAAAGAGAGGGAAAAAAAAGTGCTCTAAAGGATACAACAGCAAGTGTGTTTAGGGGTGTTAAATAGCTGACCGTATTAACGTTTTTGGTTGGATCATTGAACACAACTGTTTGCAGTCTCGCTGTTTGTCCACTTTGTATGCTTTGATCCTGTGACTTGAGCAACTATCTCTAAGATGATACTGTGTAATCTATTAACTGGTGATTTCTTACTGGTTTTTTTTTTTTTTTTGGTAGTTGTGTATTACTTGTACCCTTACACTGTTTTGTTTGGTTTTGTCTTTTCTCTTTTTCCTTTTATATAAAATTTTAAAAAACGAAACAAAATAAAACAAATGATTGGCGGCTAAAGTGTTCAAGAAAAACTTTCTGAGTTGCAAGAAATTATTTCTTCTTTATTGTTACTACGGTGATAGTGACATGGTATAAATGGTACCATGTAAAAATGGTTTATATTTGTAAAAACTCAAGCAATTATGTGGTGAACTCTGTAGTGCTTTAAGAAGAAACAGCACCAGTCCTATACAGCTCCATAGCATAGCACCTTCCTGGCAAGCATGAGGCCTTGAGTTCAATTTCTGGTACCAAAAAAAAAAAAAAAAAAAAAGGCTGAGTAGACCTACATTGTTATTGCAGCATTATCATTTGCAGCACTATCAGAACTCTCAACTAGAGGGGAAAGTAGAATTTTTTTAAATTATGGAAACCCAAAATGAAAATTAATGATATTTTAATTTTCTGAAATTACAGAGACACAGTTAAGTTCCCCTGAAACTTTTGATCTTGAAAGAGAAGACTCTTCAGGTGGCGGGGAGACTCGGGATGAAGTACAAATAATAATGGGGAAAAAAGAGGTGAATATTTTCCATTATAATTTTTCTCAGTCATTTTTTTCTGGTGGTTGTCTTCTCAAATGCAGTGTTGACCTTGGCTGAAAAGATTTACATGGCTTAGGATTTTAGCTTTGGGGACACTTGGGGAGAAATTTTTATAGTTAAGGTCAGTTCAGCACTGACCTTAATATGCATCATTATTTCTACTACAGATGGCGAAACAGAGGCTGAGGACATTGAAGTAATTTGTAATAATTCTTTTTTTTATTTGTCTTTTTGAGACAGGGTCTCGCTATGCAGTTCAGGCTGGCCTTGAGCTCACTTTGTAGCCGAGGCTGGTCTTGAATTCACAACGATCCTCCTGTCTCAGCCTCCCGAGTGCTGGGATTACAGGCATCAGCCACTATACCTGGCGAATTTGTAATAATTCATACTGCTACTAGCGGTAGAAATAGAGTTGAACTTAGATTTGTTTCTGTATTTCTAAGACATTTTCCATTAAATACTGATAAGTAACAGAGATTTAGACTTGGGGAAAAATCATTATGTAACAAACATAATTTTCAGCTCTGATTTCTAAATGTTAAATACAAAACCAAGTTAAAACAGGCAGATCCCTATTTGTATCATTATCTTTCCTAACTAACTCCCCATGTCTGGCAACAGCCATAAAACTGATTGGTAGAAGTTCACGCTCCTGATTAAGATATTCGTGTGTATTTTTATGTTTAGGCTAACAAAACAATTTAAATATCAGAAATTCTTTTTTTTTCTTTTCTTTTTTTTTTATCGGTACCAGGGATCGAACTCACAACTGTGCGCTTGCAAGGCAGGCGCTTAGAAATTCTTTTAAAGTGTTTAAACTGTTTAAGAGTTAAACAGCTTTTTCTGTTTGAAATAAGATTTTGGTATATTTGTGTTTATTATCTTATCTGAGCACCTGAAACTTATGTACTCCTTTTTATACTTTAGGTTTTCTGAAAACAATTTTTGCAGTAGAAGTTAGGTCCCCTCTCTAGTCTCTGCACTGCAGGTAACTGGGTTGAAGTTCTGCTTTGAGCAGTCATGCATACTCCCTGATTTCCTGGAGCCTCATCCTTCACAACCAACAGACTAGGATTTCCTGATGCCAGTGGTGGTAGGAAAGATGATGACACTCCCTGCAGTAAAGCCACTGAGGACGGATCCTGCTAGATAATGTCAAAATGGCTTTTGGGTCCTTTTTCCTAGAGAAGGATCAGGGCCTTCTCAATGGCATTGTGAGGACAAAGTATTATTAACACAGTCATTCTAATGTATGAAGAAACCCTAAAGGCTTTAGTTAATTAGACTGATTTCTTACCATCCATGATTGCAAAGGATATTATTCTTTGTTGAGTGAAAGAACATGAACCCTATTTAGAATTTATAGTGTGCATGTCTATACTATTGCACATCAGATAGGTGGAATTTTCTACATAGGTGTCCTCTTTTCATCATTGTTCACTGTAGATGTCTCTTTTAAGTACTCTTACAAATTTCCTTTAAGTTAGAAGTATTGTATATTTAAGTCCTGAGTAATAACTACTTACTACTTATAAGTCATTTATTGGAAAGGTAGAAATGAATATTTTATGTGTATGAAAGTAGTATCATAAAAGGCTGTGTGCCCTTACTCATGGAGTCTGAAGAGGATTGTCACTTGTCTTAAAATACTGTTTCTTAGGAGATGGCACGGCATAATGTAGTGTACTTGCCCACTGGAATTAAAAGACATGGCTTTGAATCCCAGTCTTCTACTTTGTAATGTTGGGCAAATGTTTTATCCATTTATTAGGCAGATATTTATAATTTGTATACTTGGTGCTATCTGTAGTTTTAGGATGCCAAGATAACACAGTCCCTGCCCTCACATGGTTCTGTAAAGGAAGAAGACTGACACCTAAGTAGATAATTATAATGTGGTTTGATAAATGTCAAGGTAGATTCCTTGGCATTAGAGCATCACAAAAGAACTCTTCTGAATTTCAGCTCTTCATATGTAAAATGGATATGTAATTACTTATTTTACTGGGTTGCTCAGATTAAATTAGGTAAAGAATATAAAATACATAATAGCATAAGTAAAAGTATGCATGTGGAAATAGTTATTTTACTGCTTTACACATATTGTGGCTATTTAGTAAGAATAGTTTACTAGTCCTGGCTAATCATGGCAGAACTGTAGTCCCTCTTGGTTTGACTTCCCATAGTAATCAATTTATTCTTTTCTTTGAAAAAATGTTTTTTTTCAATACCATATCTGAAAGTTTCCCTTAGACTTTTACATGGTTAGCTGGATTCTGTCCTTTGAAGAGTTCATAAAAGTTACTCAGAGTCAAGCAATGAGTTTAGTCAGTAAGTTATAAATTAATTGTGTTGAGTACTATAGTAAGGCGAAAGTTCTAAACAAATGTCTAGCTACATATACACTGGATGGAGGCAGGCTAGAGGGTTTGGTAATTTTTGAAACACGGTATTGTTTTCACTAGGTTTGTTTCTTGAGATGAGGTTTCTTTCGAGGCAAGAAGGTAAAGACTGATCCTGGTGTCACCAGTCAGTTATTAAACACAAGGTCATCAACAATCACATATTTTTTCATTAATTTTTATAAGATAACAGGAAATATAAAAATGAGAATTTTACCAAATTTATTCAATAATTTTTCTATGTATGGTATATTTTAAACATTCAATACACAATATAATCATTATAATCTGCACAGTAGTATTGAGTCTTTCTGAACTCTTTTTGCAACATTGTCTTTATTTGAACAACACACTTTACACTGTTATGTTGGTCTTTTCTTTTGTTCTGTGGGTGGTATAATTTCAATAAATTATCTCCCTACCTAACTAAATGGTGATGTCAGTGATGGATGTCCTGGTTGGCATTTTTGCTACCCCATATTTTTCAATTATTTGGTCTATTATACCTAATATAAATTGTAAATAACTTTTTAAACCCCATTGTTTTGAATAAATAACAAGTGAGCACCATATTTTTTTTGGTCCAGAAAGTACATAAATATTTTGTTAAAATATTTTCCTTCACTATTTGATAGCTTATTAAATGTTAGTCAACTCTGTCAACACCAGCTGTGGAATTATAATCATTGACCACTATTGAAATTCTTTCAGTTTCATTTTTTCCTTTCAAGTTTTATCATTTCTGTATTATAAATAGTTGACAGGAAGGAAGACATCTTTTTTGTCTTTCCATTTCTTTTTTTATCAGTACCGGGGATTGAACTTACGACCATGCACTTGCAAAGCAGGCGCTTATGCCACTGAGCTAAATCTCCAGCCCTGTCTTTCCATTTCATAGCACAGACTTTCTTTGTCTGGTGTGTTAACATTTCTCTCTTTTTCAGTTTTTTCTCTTGCAGATCTTTTGGCACTTCCATCTTATTCAGTCTCCATGACCCAAATGTGTCCGTTTTATATTATAAAAAAATATTACTTACTTCTGAGGAAGTATAAAAATTATATCTAATGTACTTGCAATAAGAGTTTTTATAGATTGTAGCACAAAATTATGTTATTTTCTACAAATAAAATAAATATGAATTAATAAAAGAAAATCACCAGCAGTTATTATTAGATTTCACTAGAAAAACATCAAAGGCAAATACAGTATTCTAAATAAAAAAGTATGCAAAATGTAGTTGATACACTACAAATCAGCAGATGTACAAATGTATGGCCTACAAACAAGAATCACATGATTGAAATGACACCTGCCTGAGTGGTACTTAGGATAGTCAGTATGTAAACAAACATGCTGCCCATGATGCTCAGGTTAAACTGTTCAGTGGTTAAGAAATTTGTGAGTCTATCACTTTTGAGGAATCACTGTATAGTATTTTAAAAGAAAAAGCAGCTCTGCAGAGACCAGATTTCTGACTTGTACTAGTAGAAGGCGTTTTGTTTGTATTTTCCCTCTTGAGGTTCTTCTGTAGAAGTTAATGTTTAAATAGACCTTTTTAATGATGTTGAGGAAAATATTTTTAATATAAGAATTTTCAGAAACTTTTTGGATTCTTTATGAATGTGGTTGATCTCATAGTCACAATAAGGTGGTAACAGAAAGACTGCTTCTTGAATACATTAATAGTTATAAGTACATTCTATATTTTATAGAGCCGGTGATAAGTACAGAGGAGTATATGGCTGCTGTGAGCGCCGGTGACATTCTTGTTATATTTCTGTGCTTAGAGAATCTTAAATTTTAAGTGTTATGGCTTATATTTAGATGTCTTCCCAAATCCTCATGCAGTCATAGGTGGTGCTTTTCATAGGTGGCTGTTTCTAGAGTGTGTGATGCTGGGATTGATTCATGGTTCAGTGTTCAGATTAAGGGTGCTAGGATTGAGGGTATGAGTGCTGCCTGCCCTGGTAAGATGTAAGGGACAGTAAAAAGCCTGTTGCTTGTCTCTTGCTTGCTTTTGCTGTCTTCTCCCTCTCATGAAGTGTTTGTCCTTTGCGATGCCCTTCTGCCATCCACCCTGCCTTGGAATCAGACGATTATGAACTGAAACCTCTACAAACTGTAAGCTGAAATAAGCCTTTCGTCCTCTAACTTTGGGTGTCAAATATTTTGTCCCAGCAACAAGAAAAGTAAGACAATAAGTAACTAATGAGTCACCGTAACTTTCAGTAACTCAAGACTGCTTGTGATTTTGGGAGATAATATATTGATTTCCTCCCCTCTGGTCAAAAAGCTTTGTGTACACAAGATAAATTTTTTCATATAAGCTCTATGTATAAGAAGAACCTGGTTTTGGGAGAAACTCTATGACTAAGCTTGGCATAATAGCACTTAGACCTTCCAACCTCTTAACTCTTCACCTCCTAGAGAAAAGTAAAGCCAGATAGACTCCCAGGACCTGTAAGGTCAGCTTTCAGAATCTGAAATGGAAGTGGAAGGAAGGATTTTCTTTCTCAATAGAATGGAAGTATTGAAAATTTTGATGTGAAACAAGCCCATTTTGAGTCTAGATTGTTTACTTTTTAACTTTGTGATCAGCAGTTTATTTTGCCTTCCCAAGCCTCAGTTTCTCCTTCTGTAACACCAAAGCTAGTGATACTTCTGTCCAGTTGGGTATCATGAGGAAAGTGGTTGGCAGAGCCTGGTATGCTGTAAGAACTTAACCAGTCTTATTTTCCCTCTTGTTAGAGTATGAGTTTTTTTAAAAAGTGAATGTATTAAAAATAGGATATATTCTGGCAGTTGTAGAAACTGTTTGACTTGTTATTTGTGGCCATTTTGCCTCTCTGCTGCCTCACACTTAAAAGTGGTTGATTTAGGGATGGTCTATACTTATGGACCAAAACAAACAAAAACCTAATTGGCTTAGAAGTTATCTACCCATTGCAGTTTTAGTCCTGTTTTGTTCTTAACCAGGAGAGAATTTTTTCTCCCACTGTAAAAAAGGTGTGATGATAGTCTAGGTGCTCTTTGCTTTTAAATGAAGCAGTATCTGTGCAGAGCAGTTTCACATTGATTGGATAGGACGTGCTGTCCTTTGAAGCAAGAGTAGGCAGCAGTGCTGCAGTGTTCATGCATACTGTTGAATTAATCACTGCAGAGTTTTTGGCGTTAACTGACCAGTACAGGTAAAATACAGCTGCCTCTGAGAGACACAAGCAGTTGTAGGGAAAATTATATAAAAAACATTGAGCTTAAGAGTAACTTCATAGAATTGATTGTTTTAACTGATGACATTTCTTTAGGTTTTTAAACATTTAGGCCTTAGTTTCTGCTTTTAATTTAAAAAGAAAATCACAAAACACAAGAAGTGTTATGTTTCTCTTGGTCTAAGCACAGATCTAACTTAAGTTAAATCCTGCTTGTGTTCCTTTTGACTTAGAGCTCTTTTGTTTTTGAATTCTTTATATCTTAATCACAGTGATCACTGTGTGTGTGTGCATGTGCATACATGCATGTGCATGTGATTGAGAAATTATCTTTAAGATGCTATTGAGAACCAAAGTGTGATGCACTTTTGTAATGAGGACTGTGCCTTGCAATGTGGCAGAGAACAGTATCCTCGTGTTTTGGATCCACATAGTTCTTGGTGTGAATTTAAGGTTTACCCACTTATTTGTTTGTGACTTTGTGCAAATTATTTTATTATTTTGGATAATACTTTTTATCTATAAAAAGAGTATACCAGTACCTTTGTAAGATTATGAGGATTACACGTATAGTATATACATAGTACTTAATATGTATAGTGAGCAGGCATTGAAAACATGAATATTAACTGTGCTAATATTGTCCTGAATTTGTCATTTTGATTGGTAGGTCCTTTGAAAGTAAATGAAATGGGGGATGCAGTCTTTTGCAGGTTTTTGGACAAAAACATACATATACAATTGCCATTTGATGTATTCTTCAGGTTGGTAACAGGAAAGATGCTGAGAAGGAAACACCTACTTCTACCTTTTCATCTACTAACCAAGTATCATGTCCACTGTGTGACCAAGGCTTCCCACCCACAAAGATTGAGCAACATGCTATGTACTGCAATGGTCTAATGGAACAAGATGCAGGTAAAAGATTCATCATGACAGACAAATTCTTACTATTTTTGTGTGTGTGTTAGTGGTTTATGCAATATAATACAGAGAAACGGACAACTCTTCAAAATTAAAGTTTTGTTTTCTGTCTAATTCTAGTTCTTTAAGAACATTTCATGTTCTTTTTGATGTTTCATTTTCATGTTCTTTATTACTTTTAGTAGATATATTATCTTGTTATTACATGTACCACAGGAAAAGAGGAAAGGGAAAGTCTTTCCCTTTTTTAATTTTTTAATTTATATTTTGGTATAGGTAGGCTAAAAGCTAGTACAAAGCAATGGATTTTGCCTTTTAATTTATATGCTTGCAATACTGAGACTCTTACAGAACTTTTGAGGACTTAAATTCTAGAGTTGTGTATTTTTCACTCAAAATAAGTGTCTTTTTTCCTAGAACAGTGTGCAGCTGAAAAATATAATGAATTTACTTTCTTGTCCTATATGTCTGCTGAATTACCCTGGAGCATTGGTTTATCTTCTCTATGAGTATAACAAAATAGAGTTTTGGTATATTGTAAGATAGTAAGAAAATCCTATTAATTATATCCATTGAAAACCCTGATCTTGCCTTTCTGTACAGTTTATGAATTTAACTTCTAAATATAATAGTATCACCATAGCTGGCTATCTACATCCAACACACTGAATGTAACCTTTAGGTAACTGGAAGGGTTGCAACATTCTTAGTGCTACTCAGTTCCCACAGTTTAGATGTGTTTAAAATTGTATAGTTGTGAAGTTTTTTGTTTATTAGGTTTTTTGTGGGCTTTTTGGAGGTAGGACCTCATTGTATGGTTCAGTCAGGCCTCAAACTCAGTGATCCCCCTGCCTCAGCTTCCCAAATGCTGAGATGCCTAACAATTGCAAATTATTTTATAAGTTAAAATTGCCAGAACAAAAGGCACATGTTATTTATTTTTCTGAAGTAACACACATTTTAGTTATTAAATACCTGAACTTATAATTTAATAGTTTGATTTTTCTGATTATAAAGTGGTACATGTTAATTGTAGTAACAGCGGCTTACATTTATTAAATTAGAGTTAGGCACTGGTAGGCACTGTTTGTATAAATAGGACCAGGCAATATATATATATACATTTATATCTATATACACCTATCTCTCTATATATACCTATATATCTATATTCCTATGAAATTCTGAAAACCACTTTTTTAAAAAGTACATTTAGATCTTTTTTTTTTTTTGTCTTTTCCTTTTTATCGGTACCGGGGATTGAACTCTCGACTGCCTGCTTGCAAGGCAGGCGCTTATGCCACTGAGCTAAATCCCTAGCCCCCCTTTTTTATTTTAAAGATAGTAAAGTACAACAAAACAAAGCCAATCAAGACAATGCAATGAAGTTGGTACAGAACTTCAGAGCAGGATACCGGGATAACAGTAATGGGTACCATAGTATGTCTTGTTACCTTCACAGTAGTTGTCCAATCAATCAGGTGTAGCAAAATCAAACAAAAACAGAACACTATAAAACCAATCAAAACAGAATATTGAATAGAGCAAAACAATTCATCAGAACAAAGCAAAACAGTGAAAACAATATTGGCCTTCAAAGACAAGACAGAAGGAAATCCTCCATATTTGCTACATTGCATAGGGTCATCCTCCCAAGAGATGCTCAGACCTCTGGCCCCAGGTCAGCAAAGTCAACCTAACAATACAAGCACTTGGTTGCTCTATGTGCCTTAGTTGCTATCAACTCTGGCTGACCTTGAAACTATCCAGTTGCTAGTGGGTGTTGCGGAGAACACGGAATGTTAGATACTCAGCCTGCATGTCAATAGGCTTACAGGAGACGCTGACTTATTCTCTCCCTGGCATGCTTGCGGGCTTGCTTGCGCCACTTACCAGGAAGGCTGGCTCGTTGCTTTCTTGCTCAGTTCCCCAAGTTCTAGCATGGCTGATTCTCAGAAGATGCGGACTTGTTCTGTCCCTGTCGCACCTGTGGTTCACTTGTGCCACTTACCAGGAAAGATGGCTCTTTTTTTTTTTTTTTTTTTTTTTGGGTACCAGAGATTGAACTCACAATCTCCTGTTTGCCAAGCAGGCACTTACACTGCTGAGCTAAACCCCAGGCCCTTTTTTTTGTGTGTATATGCTTTTAGATCTTTCTATTGCAGATGTGTTTTTTATGTAGTTGAAATGTAATTGTCAAGTTTTGTACTTTACTTTTTAAACTTTTATTTATATTTTAAATTTTATTTTAAAGAGGATAAAACAATAAAATCAATCAAAACAAACCAGTGTAAGAAATAAAGAACTTCAAAACATTATGAAATCAACAACAGTTATCATAATGCCTTTTAATGTCTTCAAAATAGTTGTAGATACCTTCAGATATAGTAGAAACAAACAGAACACAATAGAATAGAAACAATAAAAACAAAATAATGAAAGCAGCAAAGGACTTCAAAACAAACCAATAATAAATCCAAAATTGCTACCATAATATATCTTGCTATCTTTGAAATAGCTTCTCCTACTATTAGATTTAACTAAACAAAAGAGAATAAAACCTAACCCAATAAAACAATGGCAAGACCATAGGAAACAACAATGTCTACATCCCTCTGAAGGAAATCCCCCCTAGATGTCACACTGCATACCGATATCCTCTGAACCTGTGATCAGATCACTGGCCCTACATCTGCAATGTTAATGAAACACCAAAGCACCACATGCATCCAATTGCACTTCACCTCAATAGTTATCATCTCAGGTTGTGTTTCTCCAGATAAGCTGGTTGCTTTTGGGGTAGGTAGTGGGGAGATTGATACTTCTTATTTGCCAGCCTGTGTGCTGGAAGGGGCTGGGGTCTGACTGTTCCTGTCTGGTGGCAGCCTGTGCATGGCACTGGTTTCCACACTGGGCTTCTTTGCTGGTACAGCCAATGTTCTCTCTCCCCCCAGTCCATGAATGGCACTGACTCACAGGGCAAGGCTTGGTTTCCATTCCAGCGGTGGCCTGTGCATGGCACAGGTTCCCAGACTGAACTTGTTTGCTGGTGCAGCCATCGTTCTCTCTGCCCCCATGCTTTTAAACTTTTAACAGAAACTTTCTCACCTTACTAGTTATTTATAAAAATGTTTTTAATATCTGCATAATATTCTATGGTATGAATTGTGTCCATTTACTTAACTGTTGTATATTTAGTTAGAATGCTTCCATGTTGCCTTATATAATTAGATGGTATTGAGCCTCAAGTTGTTGCTGTATTTGGGGATTTTTAAAAATTTATTTTATTTTAAAGAGAAAAAAGGTAAAAATAAAAAAATAGTTTCAAATCAGGTTAGTTGGACAGTTACAATAATTAATATATTGTGTATTGTTGTCTTCATAGTAGTTACTCAGAGCACAAGACATAGGCAAAATATCTGTCCAAAAATATTAACACAAACCTTTCTTTTCAGTATAATAAGAGAAACTGGGTTACTGTAATTTTCAGTATAGAAATCTTTCATATCCTTTGTTAAATAGATTCCAAAGTGTATTTCATTTGTTTAGATGCTACCATGAAGGAGGGTATGCCTTCCCTAATTTCTGTCTCTGTGACTTGGTTGCTTATGTACAATAATGCTATTGATTTTTGAGTATTGACTTTATATCCCTCTATACTACTGAATTTGGATATTAAATCTAGGAGTTATTTTGGTGAATTTTTGAGAGATCTTCTTTATAGAGTGTCATGGCACCTGCAAATAATGATAATTTGACTTCTTCCTTTCATATCTTTACTTCATTTGTATTCTCTTATCTAATTGCTCTGGCTGAAGTTTCCAGAACTATATTGAATAGGAATGATGATAAGGGACATCCTCTATTGTTCCTGATTTTACAGTTAAATGTTTTATTTTTTGACCATTTAATATAATGTTATTTGTTGCTTTGTCATAGATGAATTTTTATATGATTTAGGTCAATACTATCTATTCTGATTTTCTGTAGGTTTTTTTTTTTATCATGCATGAGTGTTGGAGTTTTTTCAAATGCTTTTTCTGCATCTATTGATGTGATCATTTGATTTTTGTCTTTGGTTTTGTTAATATGGTGTTTTATATTTACTGATTTGTAATACGTTGAATGATCCTTGCATCCCTGGATGGATCCTACTTGATAAGGATGTATAATCTTGATGATTTGTTGCATCAAGCAAATGTGATGGTTATCCCTACTTTTTTCTGGGTCCCTGTGGCATGGAGTGTTGTTCTTCATCCTTTGACTTTTAATCTACGAATTTCTTCAGGGGTTAAATGTGTTTCTTGAGTGCAGCATATTGTTGGATCTTGCTTCTTGGTCTATTCTGCTAGTCTGCTTCTTTCAGTTGGTGAGTTGAGACTATTTCTGCTGATGATTATAACTGATATGTATTAGCTTTTCTGTTTCATGTTGATTTCCTGTTGTTTGTTCCCTGTTTTTCTTCTGTTTAACTGCTTTGATTGCATAGTAGCTTCTTTGTATTGGGGTTCATGTGTTTGTGGTCCTTGTTTTCTCCTACTAATATGTCTCTCCAAGAATTAGGTTGAGCAATTACAGTGGCCATAAATTTTTTCAGTTGTTTTTTGTCATGGAAGTTTCTTATATCTCTATCAATTTTTTTTTTTTTTTTTTTTTTGTCTTGTCAAGACAGGGTCTCTCTATGCAGTTCAGGCTGGCCTTGAGCTCACTTTGTAGCTGAGACTGGTCTTGAATTTACAACGATCCTCCTGCTTCAGCCTTCCGAGTGCTGGGATTACAGGTGTGAACCACTATGCCCGGCTTATCTCTATCAATTTTGAAAGACGGTTTTGCAGAGTATGTCATTGTGGGTTGAAGACTGTTTTTCTTTAGGGCTTGAGAAACCTCACTCCAAGCTTTCCTTGATTTGAGGGTCTGTGTTGAGAAGTCTGCTATGATTCTGATGAGCTTTCCTTTATAGGTGATATGCTTCTTTTCTCTTGCTCTGGTAGCCC